GTTGTTGCCGCCGCCGCCACCACCAAAAATCGGGGGACAGTTAAATTCTTTGGTTGGTGGGTAGCGAGGAAGGATTCAGGAGGGCGGGAAAGGCTGTGGCGAAGAAGCAGCGGCGGCTCGCCGTCCAGCGGTCCTCCTGCGGACCGCAGCTCCTCGGGCTCAGTTGCTGCTTCCCGGAGGAGGGCAGGAGGGAGACGTCGCGGCTTCTCGGGCTGGGGCAGCGCGTCGGCCGCGGTTGCTCGCGGGGCTTGTGCTGGAGCCGGCCGTGGACGTGGCGTGGCGCGTCTCTGCCGAGGGAGGGGGAACCTCTTCCCTGCGGGTCAGCGGGAAGGCCCCCTTCGTTGGTCTTCGCCTCGGTGGTTTATTCCCCCGTCCCCTCTCCTGGACCAATTGCATATAATCCAGGGTTTACAAAATAGCCACCCCCAAGTAGCGGCTCCTAAGAAGTTGCCATGGCAAGAGTGGCAGGTGTAACTTCCCGCGCACGCCGAAAAAAGAGGGGCTGCAAGAGCTCCGTCCCTGGGCCCTGTGCGCCTTTGCTCCGGGGGACCGCGCAACTTGCGCCGCGCCTCCAGTTCAAACCCAGCCGCGAGCGCCGTTGCGCCTGCTGGCAAACCTGATCGGGTGGCGACGCGAAACAAGAGATTGCAGCAGGCCGGCTGCCAAGGCTCGGCGGGGACCTGCCTCCACGCGCTCTCGGCCGCCTGCGCCGCGGCGGACTGGGCTGCGGTCTCCGGAGGCGCGTTGGGGGCGGGGGGCGGGGGGCGGACTCCCCTCTGCCCCGGGATTCGCTTCTTTTCAGGCATGGGTGGTATCGCGCCGGCCAGAAGGACGGGGCGTCGGCTGCTGGAAGCCGGCCGCTGTGCTCTGCGGCGGCTCAGCCTCTGCCGCGTCGCTGTCCGTTGTCCTGTCGCGCCCGCTAGGTCTTTTTCCTCCCCCCGCAGTCTCCTGCAGGAAGGTGGATGAGCGGCGTCGGTGCAGCCGGGCCGGAGGGCGGGCGATGCTCCCGGCACCACGCACCCGGCGGAGGGGAGATGCGGCCCAGCGGTGGGATCCTCTCCGGCTGGAGCTGGGCGACGCTTCCTGCTCTGCCTGCAGATTTCAGCGCGGAGGACGGAACTGGCTTCCCGCAGGGTTTCCGAGCCGACGGTGCTTCCTCTTGGCATCCAGCGGAGAGTGTCGGATGGAGAAGAATCCAGGCCCGGCGGAGTCCTCGGGCTACTTTTCCTCAGATCGCAACGGTAAGTAGCCAGCGGCAACACCAATGCCCGGGAGCCTCCGGGAGCTGCTCTACTGTCCTTTGCCAAGGGCCAGATCAACCTGATCTTGCCCAGAAGCCAGATCCTGCTTGATCAGCCCAGAATCCCCTTGAACCTTCCATCAGTCCCATTAACCTGGGTCATGCTAAGTCTGCGGTGCTGATAGCCCTTGAAATGTCATTGAACTTCATCACAGACTCATCCCGTTGGATGCGATCTAGCCCTCCACCGCCATCCCAGATCAGACAGGACAAGAAAGAGTGGAGTCCACCTCCACAGGTCAACCAATGGCCAGGGCTGCACCCAGGCTGGAAACAGCTCAGATAATCCATTTCACCCAGGGCTTTCTGGAACTGCTATCTGACCACCTTATCCACAGGCTCCCCTAGAAAGTTGGAGACTGGCCAAAAGTTGTTTCATATGGGTGGGTCAAGTACGGACTGTTAAAGAGGAGGAAGGGCGGCCAGTGCTGCCCCCACCCCCATAGTGAAGAGCTGAATCCAGTCCCGCCTCCCTTCACTGGCAGCCCCACAATTGGGGAGAGGCAAGGAAGCAGCCCACATATGCTGGAGGTCATCACACAGACAAACACAGAGTTTACAGGTTCAGTTAAACCCCAGATCAGCCTGCAAGACCCCATCCCATCATCTCCTTGGAATCTGTCCAGCCAGTATCTGATTCCAAGCAGCTCCTACAGGGAAGGGGTGTCCTCAAACAAGGCCAAAGACATGCTAAATCGGTATCCTTGCTGCCATGGCATAGAGCCAACCCTGGGCTCATGCCCATATTCAATCATGTTGACTTCTTGACTTTCACCAGTCTCCTTCCAGGCATCTCTTCTGGCATTTCGTTGCCTGGAATCCACACACAGGGAAAGACCATCAGTGCTTTCACTGCCTCTGTATTTCAGAAGTCAAACTGGCACCTGAAGAAACTGCCCACCAGATTGTTGGAACATCTCCAAGTGCCTGCGAAAACCAGGAATAGAACCGTTGATTCTCCTCGAAGGCCACGTTAATTAACTACATTCATTTCCCACTAAAACGTCAGCCATGAAGATGACTGTGGTTACTGACCTTGTTATCATGATGCATTCAACACACAATTATCATCACTGAACGTAAAGACTATTCCAGTGGATGTGAATAAAACCAAGAACTGCTCTTAAGTCCCAAGGCAGCTCTAAGCTTGCACTCTTCAGGGCTCCTACAGGAGGCTTAGAGACAGGCTCAACCTCTGTCCAGAGGCCTTGCCAGCCACTCCACAGCTGTGCTCCAGTTACTCATACAACCTGAAATCCTGACATTAAGACAGGAAAGCACAGAATGCCCACAATGTCACGGCCAGAGCCCAGCAAAAAGAGGACCTGCCCCATAATCTTTTGACCCTCCACGCTGGGGCAGGAGACCTTCACATGCACCCTTATCGCATCATCGCCCCATGAAGAGCATCTCTCCCCACAGCAAACAGCCTGCTGCCCCACGTGGAACCACCAGCAGCATAGCTTGTTCTCCTCACTGCTGGTATTTCAAGAATTGAGTTGCAGCCTCTCCCCATCTCCTTCCCCATGTTCAGAGCCAGCTGATTCCCCTCAGTGATTCTGTGGCCCATGTTTTGTGGCCACGTTTGCACAAGTGGCCTCACCCAGCAGAGTTCAAGGCCTGGCCCAGCTGAGGCAGGAACACTCGGAAAGCAGCACTCAGAGCCAGTGGTCAGCAGCAGCAGCGGGGGCACTTGAGAGCCCAAGAGCTTCAGAAGTTGGTTCCAAATGAGCCCAGCCCCACGTCACTGAGCCACAGGGACGCCCCAGCTGGCCCCTCCCTTAAAGGGGAGGAGGAGAGCAGTCAGGGCCCAAGGGACAGGAAGTTGTTAGCCTGGGTAGCAAAAGGCCACCTCTCTCAGAGGTAAACTGGCATCTGGCTGGAGGCAGAATCCTTGTCTTCCATCCTTCTGGGGTGGGAAAGGGGATTGCACTGGAAGGGTGCTCAGTCTTCAGCAGTGCCCACAGCAGTCCAGTTAGGCACTCCCCAAAACCAGAGGCAGCGTGTGCTTTTCCCAGTTCCTCCCCTGCTCCCCTTCAATTAACGGTATACCAGTTCTGGTCAAACCAGAAAGACAAAGACTAGATGGAGCTGGTACAAGCCATTTATTGGTTGCAGAAGGACGGGCTTTCTCCAAAGGAAAGCCCACCAAGGAAGTAAAGAAAGGGAGGGTGGGATCTGCAGGTGAAGGCTCTCAGACCAGCATTCCCAAATATGAGAGTTGGGAACAGCCTAAAAACTTAGCTTCAGCATGTCATACGTGCTGCCATGTTAAGGCCACAGTGCTCAGCTTGCATGAGTTCATTCATACCAATCAGAAGCTAAAAGACCAGCTGGAGGCGTAAGAGACTTGGCCCCCTTTCCACGGGAGGCCCACTCCCAGAAACATAGGGAAGGTCCCTGCAACCACTGTACACATGTGTTTGCATCAAACAATGGCCAAACTGCAGTAGCCAACATTTGCTGCCTCCAGGTGGCACCACGAAGAGCTCTACCCAACATCTCTAAGCTAGCCCCTCACCACCTTCCCTTCCTGCTGTGAACTCAAACCATATGGGTGGCTTCTCAGGACAGAAAAACCCATGAGGAACTTGGGACTGTGCCCCCATTTCATGAACCAACTGCAGAAGCATAATCCCAAGAGCCTGGCTGTGGTGACAGACCCTCCACCAGGCTAATTCATAGGGCAAGAGAAAGCCAACAGAGAGGAAATATCAGATCAGGATCATTCCTAGAATGGAATGAAGTCTGGTCATATTAGTCCAGGCCCCTCTTGTCACTTTTACGCAGGGGGCAAAGTTCCATTCCGTCATTCCTAAGCTGGATCCTGGTGGCACCACAAAAGGGAATCCTCATCCTTCTATCAGTATGGTTCCTCCTCATCAGTGTCCTGAACAGGATGCAAGAAACAGCAGTCAAGCAAGGGAGTCACTGTGACCTATATGCCTTTTGCCCAGCTCGGCTGATTGTGCCCCAAGTACTGCTGGCTCAGACCCAGAGACGTCCAGGGGTTGAAGATCCCTGCAAGAAAACCACCCTCCCTGGCAGAGGGCATTCCCCAAAATCATGTGAAGGTCTTTCTTGCCAGCGTTCAAGTCACACAGGTACAACCAATCCAAGCAAAGGCAGGGGGGCTCACCCTCCTTGCTAGCAATTGGCATGATGCCATCCAAGACTTGATAGGCAAGAAACGCCATTAGAACTAAGAGCTATTGATAGTTCAGCCCTCTGCTGTTGCTATCCCTGATGGTGGCAAATCTCAGAGTAAAGCTCTGCAATTGTATGAAGAAGTCCTGTTTTATTGCTCCTGAATCTGTCTGAGGGACTGCCTCTCCCCAGTTACATCCACCTGTCCCATCAGGTCCAGCAGGAGAGGCATGTGGCAGGTCTGACGGGACCCAGGAGGCGAGCCTTTTTGGCTGTGGCACCCCCCCCTTTGGAATATCATCACCCCCCCACCCCAGGTGAGGCTAGGCCCAGCCCTTGTGGCCTTCTGGAAATCCCTTTAAATTTGTTTTTTTCAACAGGGGATCTCCTGGCAACAGGGGCCCTGCGTGCTGGCTGCATCACATGTAGCATTCTGATGCATTCCCTCACAACCTTGTTCTTATTTATGTTTAATTGTTTTAAGTGGCTTTTGTAGAATATTTTAATTGTTGGTTTTATTGTATGCCACCCAGAGTCACTTTGTGTGAGGTGGGCAACCGTATACAATTGATAAATAAATAATTTTTTTCTATGCTTATAGGTAGTCTTCACTTAACGACCCTAATTGCGGCTGGCGACTCCATTGCTAAGCAAAGCAGTCACTAAGTGGGATATCACGTGATTGCGATTGTGCTTTCTGGCTGGAAAGAGACAAGACTAGTCAGCTTCATACTCTCTGTTGCCCTGCTTACTGTCTTGTACACATCGAAAGCAATGTGATTGTGCCAGCAGCCTGGGCTGGGAGCCATGGATGCACTATGCAAACAGCCTACAGTACTCTTTTCAAATCTCTTCCTCTCCAATCTCTCCCCTCTCAAAGGGAGGGAAAAAGAAAAAAACACAGGCCAGGCACAGGGCATGTACTGACTGTAACAGCGATCATGTGACTGAGACACACTGCGAAGGTTGTAAATGGTCACAAATTGGGTGTTAGGTTATTTTTTCAGCACCATCATAATTTCAAAAGGTCGCTGAATGAGTGGTCAGTAAGCGAGGACCACCTGTATTTTCAATGGATGATCCTAAGTTACAACACTCACTGAACGATGAAGAACTTTTCTCTGTCCACATTTTCTACTCTGTGAGTAACTTCATTACCTCCTTTGCCCCCAACTCCAGAGCCTTGTTGGGAATCTCCTCTAACCTCCTAATGATTCTGTTTGGGACACCTTTTTGAACTCAGCAACCCTCTCTTGGTGGGGCAGTGGACCACGGAGGGCATTCCAAGGGCAGTCTATCCGCGCTGGTTGGCAGCGGTCTCAGCACCGCCTGGTTCTCAGTGGGGAGGAATGAGAGGGAGGCTTCCAGAAGCACTGCTGCCCCCCCCCCAGTGAGATGATGGCAGAAGTTGGCAGCCTCCTTAAGAGGTGGGGAAAATACAGATGCCTTGAGACTCTGATAAGCCTGCCCTGGAAGGCTGGCCAAAGGAAAGATTTCTCTCTTCCATCAGGGGTGAATTAACAACCTTTCGGCTTACCAGGCACTGCAAACAAAAGCCAGCCAGCTGCTTCCTGCAGCCACCTTGCTCAGGTCTATGGAAAAAGTACAGAGAAGAAACCAGCTGAGCTTCCAACCCACTCTGCTTGCCCGCTTTGCTCTCACCAGGTGGGCTTTAGAACCATTTTAGCATCAGCCTCTCCTTCTTGGATGCCACTTGCCCTGTGGTGTGGCAGACGGAGGGGCATCTTTAATCCCTATTAAGAGGCACTGGGGGCAATCCCAGCCCCTTCCCAAAGCCCACCTTCTCCTCTGCCAATAACCCCTTCAGCTCTCCCCCGCCCCCGTCACTCTCACTCTTCAGAGACTTCAATGGAGGACTTCTTGTAGACAGGCCGCCTCCTTGCTTTCATCAGCCCGGATTTCTTACTCATCCGAACCAGCAGCAGAATCACCACGATGGCAGAGGGGAGAAAGATCAGGATGGAGAGCAGTCCAGATGACGTCAGCTGGAAGGAGGCACCTTTGGAAACAGAGCAGGGTGGGGCAGGCAGACCAAAAGCCCCTCCAGCCAGCTACTAAAGCAGGCCCTTACCCACAGAGTCCCCCAGGTCCCTTCCCCAGCACAAATGCCAACTGCAAGGGATTTGGGCAATGAGTTGGGCACGGCCCACTCTGGCACCCCAAGATACCCTGAATCAGAAGACATTCTACAGGGCAGGCAGAAGGACAACCAGCCCAAGCCAAGGGGGCCAGGTTTTCAGGAAAGCAGCTGACAATGTCAACCCAGGGCCTGCAGGACAGCCCCCCTCCCATCCTGGGCACTGGGGCTCTGCCTTACCTCTCTGGGTGACCGTCAGCAGGGTCTGGGGGATGTTGTGCTGCACATCGGGGGGGTTCTTCACCGAACAGGTGAACGTCCCATTATCCTCCAGGGTTGGGTTGGAGATCATAATGGAAGCATCCTGCTTGGCCACGTTGCCAGCCCAGGAGACTCGGTCACGGAAGCTGCCTCCCTTGGCTGGGTAGGCATCGGACTGGTAGTGCAAGACCTGGGGGAGGGGGAGGGGGGCGGTAAGCCCATCCCACGCCAGAAGAGCCAACACCAGCCAGCCCCCTGGGGAGAAGGGGGCATCAGGGCTCCTAGAATCCTTTCACCAGCCCCCACTCAGACTGTGCCACCTCAGGGCCACTGAGCAGCAGCAGAGATGGGCTCTTTGGCCTGGCCAGGCCAGAGCCAGGGACCATGCGTGCTCACCGGCTCCAAGCTGCCCCCTGCAAGAGGCCGGTAGGTCCAGTCCACGGTGAGCTTCTCTGTGACCGGAGTGGAGGACCTGAACCAGCAGTTGAGGGTCACCGGCTCGCCCGCAAACGCCTGAACTTGGGCATCGGCCTTGATCTCCAGCAAGTGGACTCTGGTGACCGCTGCAAGCACAGCCGCGGCGCAGGTCAGCGTCCCGGCCGAAGCGCCCGCCGCTTGGCCTCTCGCCGGCTCGCCTGACCGCCGGGGGGCCCGCCCCGCGAGGGAGGCGCAGGGCGTCGGGACTACGACGGGGGGC